CCTACATCAGCTTGGTCTATAAGAGCTAATTCCAGGACAGCCTCCAAAGCCACAGAGAAACCCTGTCTTGAACCCCCCCCCAAAAAAAAATCTCAATTTTACTATATCTAATAATTTTCTCAGTGTTCTAATGTCTCAAGTCCATTTGAAAAATTTTCAGATCTTATAAAATGTCCTTTTCAGACAAAGAAAAATCATTCAAAGTAGGATTCCCCCTACATTTGGTTGATATGTCTCATTCATGCTTGTGTTTGACTGACACATTTCTGTTTTTTAATCCAGGACAGTTCTCCCTTTCCCCTGCTTCTTTCCTATGTTTGTGAAGAAGCCAAGATACCTTGTGGAATCCACATTCTTGGCTTCATTGGTTGCTTTTTGTGGCGCTTGTTTTTCTATTCTCTGTGATTACATCTAGATAATTAAGTTTTTGCTCTTGTTTGTTTTGAGAAAAGACAAGAATTTGGTGGTCTCTTTGTTCTTCAGCAACATTCAATATTACCTCTTTTGCAGACTTATGAGATGATATTATTAGCCATATTGCTCCATTGTCATCTGCCCTCTCCATCACCCTTTTATCTTATGGTTTTAGCCTGTGTGTGTGTGTGTGTCAAGGACTGACTACGTAGCCCTGACTTGCCTAGAGCTCAATACATAGACCAGGCTGGTCTTGAACTCAGATCTACCTGCCTCTCAAATGCTAGGATTATAGGTATGTGCTACCACACCTGGATGTTTCTAGCATCTAAAAAAATATTTTATTTCTATTTAAATATGTGTGTATATTTGTGTAAGCATGAGTTTGTGTGCATCACTGTGGTGCCTTAGAGCCCAAAAGAGGGTACTGAATCTCCTGGAGCTAGATTTACAGGCAATTGTTAGCTGACCAAAGTGGGCCAGTGGGTCTACAAGCCTCCAGGGGATTCTTCTGTCTCTGCATCTGATGGTACAGCAGCAGGTGTGCTGGGATTACAAACATGCACCTTTCTATCTGGCTTCTTCATGGATCCCAGGGATGCTTGTGTAGCAAGTACTTTTGCGCAATGAGCCATCTTTTTGGCCCTGAATTTCCTTTTTTTTTTTTTTTTTTTTAAAGCATGTGATGGTTTGAATGAGAAATGCTCCCTCCCCCCAGCCCCCATGGTCTCAGGCATTTGAACACTTGATCCCCAGTTGGTGGTGATTTTTGGTGAGGTTTAGGTGGTTCAACACTGGCATAGCAGCACTTGGGAGGCAGAGGCACCACTGAGGATAGGCTTTAATATTAAAAGCCTCTCGCCACTTCTGGTTTGCTCTCTCTGCTCCATGCCTGCATTTGAAAATAGGCGATGCTCTCAGCTTCCCGTGCCTGCCACCATGCCTACTGCTATGCCTCCTTGCCATGATGGATTCTTAACCCTCTGAAATTATACCCCCAAACCTCTTACATAATAAATTCCCTGGGTCATGGTATTTCATCACTAAAACAGAGAAGTAACTAACACAGTGTATGTGTACATGTGTGTAGATGTATGTGGGTACACACACACCATAGCATGTGTGTGAAGTCAGAGGAAAACCTGCATGAGCTGCTTCTACCATGTGGGTCCCAGAGATGGAGGTAGTCATCAGGTTTGTCGGCCTGAGCCTTATCTCCTGAGCCACCTCTATGGCCCCACTTTTTGAGACATGGTCTCACACACCCTATGTTGGTCTCAAACTTGATATGTGGCTGAGACTGGTGTTGAACTCTTTTTTTTTTTTTTTTTTTTTTTTTTTTTTTTTTTTTCCTTTTCCTGAGACAGGGTTTCTCTGTGTAACTGTGGCTGTCCTAGAACTCCCTATATAGACCAGGCTGGCCTCCCAAGTGCTGCTATACGGGTGTTGAACTCTTGATCATCCTGCATTTACATCCCAAATGCTGGGATTACAAGCATGTGCCAAACACACTCAGGCATAATTATTTCTTTAGTCCTAATTAATTACCGACAGCAACTGAATCAGCTTCTATTCTAGTGGAGGAGATGAAGAGTAATTGTTTTCAAAAAATATTCATTTTGTGCATGCACATAAACGTGTAGGAACAAGGGTGCCATGGCAAGTGTGGAGGTCAGATGTCAACTTACTGACACTGTTTCTCTCTTCTCACCATGTGGGTTCTAAGGATGGAACTCAAGTCCTCAGGCTTGGCAGCAAGCACCTTGACTCACCAAGTCATCTCACCAGCCCACAAGTAATAATTCTACAGCATAATCAAATGATAATGATAAATGCTGTGCGGCAAATAGAATGTGAAATGGATGGAGGGTTTCAGATTTTTTAGATTAGATGGCGACATTATGACGGGATTTAAGACAATGATGTCAGTCTTGCAACTCTTTAGTTTCCATTCAAAGTGCTAGACATGTAGGGGACTGACCTCCAAAGGAGGCTAAAAGCATCAAGTGACCTCTAATGTACTGGTGGACAATTATTCACTAATACTGTCTGCCTTAGTGGAAGCAGTCCTCCCAATTGTACAGGCCAGCTGCTCTGATGAAAATGCCTATTATACTCTTAGTTTGAAGTCGCTCAAACACTCAGCCAAACCCCTTTTCCTCATTATCTGGCCCATGGGCATGCTGAAGTGAAGTAATAAGAGTCATCTCCATATTTGAGATTCTAAATAATTTCACAGGGGTCAAATTTTGTACTTTTGATTCCCCCCCTTGCAATAATCAGAAGACACTATTAACAAAACTATGTGAAGGCCTCCAAAACCTGCTGTAATTGGAGGTCATTATCTCCTGTGTTGAATTCAATAATGAACCACAACAGACTGTTTTCCTAAGTACTATTTCTTGGCTATGGTATTCCAGAGTCTAATAAGAGCAGTTTATCTTTAGAAATACAGCTTATCATTTCAGTATCCTTATTCTAAATTCATGAAGTTAAAGTGCCTGCTTTTCTCAAAAGGCCAGAGTGAATATTTTAGGCTTTGGAGACCATGGCATTTTTGTTATAACTTCAGTTGCCACTGAGGAGGAAGCAGCCATAGACAATGGGCAGTCAAACAGACATGGCTGTATGGCAATAAAACTTTATTTACAAAACCATACTGTTACTTGCAGGGTGCAGTTTTCAGTCTATATGGTAGCTGAAAAGTAGTCTAAGGCTAGACACATCTCACTCATTATGCCAATATCTCTGCATGGTTCAGGAATCTTTGTTTTTCTAATATTTTCAAATTTAAGTAATATTAGGAACCAAAGAAGCCTTGGGACACATTGACGGGTTTGACTAAGGTGTTTAAACCTACTCTCACTTCCAATATGTTCCAGAGCCCTCAGTACCTTGGATGAATTTTAGGTGTCCCCAGAGATGCACTGTGATGTTGGTGACAGATTAAGGATGGTAGTTACCCTTTCCCATTGTGACACAATCCAGGGAAGAGAAGCTCTGGAATTAACATGTTCTCTTTCCTGGTAACCCTCTTTAGACAAGAATCACCTGCAAGGTGCTCCAAATCTAACAGGGCCATTCTAAGCTACAACACACTATTGTATTGTTCTTGCCAGGCTTGTGGTTGTAAACATGGCTACACAGATTTTTTTCAATTTGGTCTAAGTTTGAAGGGAATACGGTAAAACATAAAAAAAAATGAATGAAGGACACTATACAAGAACAGGACAAAGAGCCACATGAACTAACTGGCCTTTGTGGTTAAACCAGAGGTCAAAATGAGAACAAGAGAGCCAATATTTAGGAAACAAGGCAATAA